CACTCTCCTGGTGGCAGTGTGGACACTGCTAAGGGGACAGCACTCCCCTCACCCTCCTAAACTCCCGGAGGGTCTTTTTCCAGGCCCAGCCCCTTAAAGGAGAGAGAGCAGTGAAGGGAGGTAGAAAGCCGTGATGGGAGCAGCAGTGGGGAGAGGGCTGCGGGCCAGAACTTCTCAGCCTGGATGGAAACCAGTCCCATGCCAGAAGGCTCTGTGGGGAGGCTGGGGGTGCAGCCCAGGTGGTTCCAATCAGCCAGAATCCTTGCTGGGCTGGGCTCCTGGCTTTCCCCTTAGGAAATGCCTTCTCCAGAGGGCTGATTGCAGGGACAGAAAGGAAGAAATACAAGGAACACAATCCCTCAAAGGTCTGTAAGAACGCAGCAGCTCCCTGCAGTTCTGCTCTCCAGAGCGGGCTGCTGCAGAGCCCTGCAGAGCTAGGCCCCAGGGATCTGGACTGCTCTTCTGGATGTCCTCTGCCAAGTTTGCTTCTCTTTCCTCCTTGCCCCTCCTAAACTTCTCAAATCTCCCCAAAGTGTCTGGGGCCCAGTGGGCTCTTCCTCCCAGGCCCAAGCCACCAGGAGGGCCAGCTGCCCGCAGCTGTAGACAGGGAAGCCTCTGCCAACCCACCAGCCCTGTGCAAACAACCCTCCTCCGCCCCTCCGCTATCATCCATCTGCTATGCCCAGAAAGATGCCTGGCGTGGCTGCATGCCATCCCTTAAAAGAACTTTTTCTGTGCTTAGAGCTGAGATGGCCCCGAGCCTGCTTGCCAGGAAGGCCCAGTGTCCCGGGCAGTGTCACAGAGCCTGAGCTTGGGTGGGGGAGGGCAAGAGCTGAGTAGACGCCACCTATGCCCACCCTGCTCTGTGCCCACTCACTGCCCCGGTGCGCGTGTATGGTGCAAGGGCTGACGGAGGGGTGGGGACATCCAGGGCCGACGCTGGCCTCTACCAGTGCAGGTGCAGAGAGGCCTGTCTCTCACACTGCTTCCACTGGGGACAAGCGGGAGAAAGGGTAAACTGAGGCACACCATGGGGAGCAACCTCACAACTAAAGAGGTGTCATGGACACCAGCAGGAGGGCTCCCCCATCTCCCTCAGCAATGTTTTGGAACCCCCCGAAAGCCACCATTTATTGGACACTTACTATATGCCCCGCATTTTCCATAGATTGTCTCGGTTAATTTTCACACCCTCCACCTGAGAACTGGCTCCTGTTATTCTTCTCCACTTAAAGGGAGGAAACTGAGGTGCAGATACGTATTTCCCTAGGTCTCTCAGGCAGGCTTTGAACCTAGATCTGGCCTCACTCCAGTGCCCGGCTCCTACTGCTGGCCTCCTGCCTGCAATGGCTTTAAGGTCCTGCTTGTGCCTGGAGGTCTGGGACCAACTTCCTCATCTCCGCACCCCTGAAGAGCGCCCCACAGAGAGCACAGACTCAGTGCGTGTTCCCAGTGAGCCCCGTGAACGAGCCAGTAAAGACACGAGCATCTGCCATTGTGCTCCTCTGCTCCTGCGTGTGGACGTGAAGCAGCAGTGAACA